CCCAGTACACCAGAACAGTCAGTACCAGGTTTTGCTTGAAGGACAAAATGGTAGAACGTGCTGCATTATGCTCATGATGGGATCCATAGTGAATACAACCAGAAAAGACAGCTAATCTCAACACCTACTGATCTCTCTGCTTCTGCTCTCTCTATTTCTCTCAAAATTTCTGAAATCGTTAATTATTTACTGTTTTTCAGTGCATTCTGGGCATTTGAGAAGGTCTTCTGAGATTATCTTTTAAAAACGCTTCTAAACGCAAAAGCGCAAAAATGCGGCATGCAAACGCGGCTAAAACTGGTATTAACCTACGTTTTCTAGCAGTCAGTTTCCAGTGGTCAGAAGAGTTTTCCAAACGCCCCGTGTACATGAGCCCTAATGCTTTAACCCCTTGAACCCTGTACTAGTGCCCTGCTTCACCTGAATGGGTCACACTCAGCAGGCACTTCTGCAGAGCCTGCTGAAAGCAACAGGAGGTATAATTCCTGCTGCAGCCTGTGTACACCTCCGGCTGCTGCCTCTGTAGCTAAAGGGGGTAGCAGTTGGGTGGCAGTAAAAGTGCAGCTCAACTGCTGGGCTTTACCACCCCTCAATGTTAGTGTGATTGAGCCGTAAACGTTCTCTGTGCCCCTCAGTGCTACCTAGTCTTCTGCAAAGCCTCCAGACACCCAAAAGTGTCCCACAGTGCCAATGCAAAACCCCCAGACCCCTCCAGAGACCCCCATGCCCCACAGTTGCCCCAAGCACCCTCCAAAAACCTCATCCCCTAAAATTCCATCAATTCCACTGCAGAGTCTTCCAACTTCCTCAGAATGCACCCCACCCTCTACAGGGCCACCAAGTTTGCTGCAGAGCCCTCTAACCCCCTACAGTGCACCCATCCCCAAAGACACCCAGCTGCACCTAGATAATCAATATATATTTTTTATCCCATTTTTTTTAATGTGAGAGTACAAACTTTTTTTTTTTTTTTTAACTGTTGGGTCATGGGAGGTTTTTGAAGAAATTAAGTGGCCCTGGTCTCAATACAGTTGAGACGTACTGCTCTATTGCATTACTGAATGGATCTAACAGGGCCAGCGGGTATAAATAGGAGCTAGGAGCGCATGCATGAGGCCAACTGTATTTTCATTAATAAACTTTTCCTCTATGACCTGTTCTAGGAAAGCAGAGGTATATGTCCGAGTGTAAACACACAATAGCCAAAGGCTACAACACAATGGGCAGGCAGGATGATCTTATTAGATATGAAGATCACACAACCCTGGCATCACTCAGACTTGCCAGCTGACGCATTTCAAGAGACGAACCAGCTTCCTCAGAGAGGTGTCTGAATGACGTCAGGGTTATGTGGTCTTCATCTCTAATAGGATCATCCTGCCTAGTGCATTACCATAAAAAATGTTTAATAAGAAATAAAGTAGGTGTTGTACTCACAAACGACAATAAAGTCAAGGCACGTCATAAAAGAACAGCTTAGTCAATACCCGCGCTGAATAACAGTCCGCAATAGGAAGTGCAGACATCCAATAGGCTGAGGAAGAGGCAAGTCCTCGAAACGCGTCAGCCTATTGGATGTCTACACTCCCTATTGCGGACTGTTACTCAGCGTGGTGTTGACCCAACTGTTCTTTTATGATGTGCCTTGACTATATTGTCGTTTGTGAGTACAACACCTACTTTGTTTTTTATTAAACATTTTTTATGGTAATGCACTAGGCCTGTGCGCCCTCTGTTTCTTCTTTCCTCATTCAGTATGTTTAGATTTCCCCGATCTATTGAGGGCAGCAAGGTGTGCATGTTCCAGGACATTTCTAATGTGGTTGTAGCCTGCATCGAGTCCATCCCCAAGCGCAGGAGCATTTGTGTTTGCTGGATCATCCTGCCACCTGGCTTGCTTTTTTCTGCTGTTGTAGCCTTTGGCTATTGTGAGTATGCATTCATTGGTTTTATTTCATCAATAAAGGTATCTTTTGTAATGCAGTTGGCTTTTGAGTTCTTTTGTTTATGTTTTTGGCTATGGTTCAAGATTCCCCAGTCTGATGAGGGCAAAATTGACTCAGTCTATCAGTTTTTGATGAAAGTCGACATCAAAATGGACATCTAATACAGAAAATTGTGTTCTCATTAAACCCTTAGGCTGCTCAAAAAATCTGCTTCTACAGATGTTTGAGCTTTTATTTTTCTCTGCATGTAAACTCCCCTCCATGTTAGCCCATGCGGCTGATTTACAAAAACTGGAGAGTGCAATATCTGATGCAGCTCTGCATAGAAACCAATCAGCGTTCAGGTTTTATTGTCAAAGCATAAATGAAGACGCTGAAGTTAGAAGCTGATTGGCTGCCATGCACAGCTGCACCAGATTTTGCACTCTTCAGTTTTTGTAAATCAGCCCCACTGGGTCCATGTGCACTATAGACATTTTCAAGAGTTTAGTGGCAGAGGAGTTTACAGACAGAAACCCCCCCACCAAAGTCGCAAACAGGAGAGGAGCTTTAGGGCAAAAGGTCTCATGCACACAGCATGTTTTCTTAACTCTTCTAGAAGCCTTCCTCCTGGCAGAAACAGTGTTTTGCAATAAAGAAAAAAAAATGTAAAATTGTGTAAAGCGTTTAGCTGTGTTTAAACCGTGTGTAACGTTTGGGCGTTAATTAATTTAATTGGCCAGTATAATTTATTCTGGGCATTGAAATAAAATAACACTCAAGCGCTGAATGCGCCACATGTTAACACGCCAAGCATTTTTTCAGCCAAAACTATGCTGCTTCTGGATGCACTTTCAGTGTTTTTTTTTCTGCCTCTAAACTCTCCTACCACTAAACATCTCTAAGGCCTTGTTCACACCATACGTGCAGAAAAACTGATGGAAATGCAGATGGGTAGCACAGTGGCTAAATGGTTAGCACTTCCACCTGGCAGTACTCAGGTCGTTGGTTAAATCCCAGCCACGGCACCTCCTGCCTGGAGTTTGCATGTTCTCCCTGTGCCTGCGTGGGTTTCCTCCGAGTACTCCGGTTTCCTCCCACACTCCAAAGACATGCTGGTAGGTTAATTGGATCCTGTCTAAATTGGCCCTTGTATATGAATGTAAGTTAGGGACCTTAGATTGTACGCCCCTTGAGGGTTAGGGACTGATGTGAATGTACTATATGTAAAGCGCTGTGTAAATTGACGGCGCTATATAAGTACTTGCAATAAATAATAAATAGATTTCACTTGCAGAGACATCAGCTTTCATACGCGCTTCAATGAGTTTTATAAACCTTGCAGATTCATGTGCAGAAAAAATCTGCACGTAATACTAGTGTTGTGAACAGGGCACATAGAGAACAATTGCTTTCATTGTGCCCTTGCAGAACATGTGCAGAAAAACTGCCGTCTCTGCACCATGATATGAACCAGCCCTAAGGCTAGGTTCACATCTGTGCGGGTGGTGCGGCTGTGGATCCACACGAAAATCCGTGCATCCGCATCACCGGAACAGAGGAATGAGGACCCGCAGGCAGGTGCCATTAGTTCTAATGGCACGCCGCCCACACTGGAAAACTTAACTGTACTGGGAACCAGGGTTCCCGTGTGGGCTGTTGTTTCAGAAGTGCTTGGACTTCTTCCCTGTGTGTCACGGGGCACGAGAGTCCATGCAAATGAATGGGCTCTCTGCCTGCGCAAAATGCAGCCCGCACAGGCGCATATATGTGAACCAGGGGTAAGGGCTCGTTCACACCATGTACCAGCGCGTTCCTGTGCGATTCATCTGCAGCTCTGTGCGGTGCAATTTCAAGCCATTCATTTGAATGGGCTGAAACTGCACCACACCAAAAGTAGTGCATGCACTACTTTTTGAAATGCACAGCAACTGCATCACATGCTACTTTCTACTATGCGATTTAGTAAGGGCAAACACAATGAGTTTGCGACCTGTTTGGGCTGTTGCTAACTTTTAACTGACCCCCACAGCAGATCTAAAGGGCACTGCGATCAGAATGCGGTGCAGGAAACCGCAGCTCTCCCACACCGCATTTTTAGTGTGAACGAGCCCTGAAAGTTTAGTGTGCATGGACACATAGGCTAACATGCAGGGGAATTTAGAGGCAGGAAAAAAAACCCACCAGACACCTTTGGAAGCTGCTATAAAAATGTCCAGTGTGCATGAGGCCTAAAAAAACCGCTCAAAAGCTCCTTAACGCTAGGCATATTCTCGCCTCAATGCATTCTAATGGGCAGAATTTCGGCCAATAGAATATATTAACGCCAGATGCAGGAACGCACATTACCGCTCATCCAAAACGCACCTTTTTACCACATTTTTGCTCCTGCTAAACTCCTGCAAGAGGAAAAAAAAAAGCATCAATAGCATACAGTGCGCATGAGGCCTAGCACTACGGTGTCACACATGTATAAATTTTGGTGTGTAGAGGCATTTATCTTCCTGACTGATAAAGGCAGGAGGACAAGAGGCCACCATACAAGGTACAACAAAGGATTTCTATGTGGACAGGTTACACAATACCCTCCCAGGACAATAGCACTACACTCCCAAGCCATCTTTCTTTGCCCCTGTTTCTCCCTGCAACTGTACCCTCCAACGGATCACACCACTACTGACCACACAGGGGGGGAGGAAGATTCCATACCCGTGTAAAATACCTTTCCGCAGCTTCTCTTTGCTCTCACAAAAGCCCGTTCGCCATCCCATCAGAATCAGACCCAAAGATACCCCCCTGTGGCTTTTCTATTGAAGGTGACGCAAAAGGCAGGTCCCCGGATCCTCCCCCCGTCCCAAACTGAACGTGGTACAGTCTGGGCGGCGAGTACTGCGCCTGCGCGGCATGCTACCCTTACACGGACGTTGAAGCAGCGAGGGCACACAAAATGGCTTCCACCGGTGAGTAGTTAGCGGGCTCGGCTGGTGTGGTGAAATCTTCCTGACTGGGCGGGCTGTGCGTTCGACGTTCTATTTTACGCGCGGCGCTGCGCTCCTCTTGGCGGGGCCGTTTGCCTCCTTGTTGGTAGAGCGCGGCTTGGGTGGGCTCGCTGTATACATCCTAGGCCTCAGCCAGACAGGTCGCCGCGTTCCATCCGGGTACACGAGGCGCCACACCGTGTTGGCGATGGATAACCAAGCCAGCGATCCCTCGGCAGGGTTTATGTTGGCACCGGCAGCCCCTGGCTTTCAGGGTTGGTTTCATCTTTTCAGTTCTAACTGGTCCTCGGAGTAGGCCGTGTCTGTAAACCTGTGTGTGTGCGGAGCTCGGCGTGCTGCCTGTTTATCCTCAAGGGCCTAGTGACCAGCCGAGCTTCCGGGCGCCTTTTGGCCTTGTGCGGGCTGTATGGCGGGCAGCTAGGGCTCAGGGCCTTTGTATACAGGATGTTGTACTCTTGTGTGTGAGTGAGTAAGCATGCTTACTGATGATTGGATGTGCATGCTATTAATATTGATGTGCAGTATAGGTCATCCCTGCATCGGATGTTTTTATTAATAGAAACCTTGTGTAATAATATAGGTCATCCTGCATCGTACATTTCTTTTTTTATTAATAGTACCCTTGTGCGGTACAGGTCATCCCTGCATCCTATATATTTATTAATCGAAACCTTGTGCTGTACAGGTCATCCCTGCATCCTATATATTTTTATTAATCGAAACCTTGTGCTGTACAGGTCATCCCTGCATCCTATATATTTATTCATAGAAACCTTGTGCTGTACAGGTCATCCCTGCATCCTATATATTTATTAATCGAAACCTTGTGCTGTACAGGTCATCCCTCCCTGCATCCTTTATATTTATTCATAGAAACCTTGTGCTGTACAGGTCATCCCTGCATCCTATATATTTATTAATCGAAACCTTGTGCTGTACAGGTCATCCCTGCATCCTATATATTTATTCATAGAAACCTTGTGCTGTACAGGTCATCCCTGCATCCTATATATTTATTCATAGAAACCTTGTGCTGTACAGGTCATCCCTGCATCCTATATATTTATTAATCGAAACCTTGTGCTGTACAGGTCATCCCTGCATCCTATATATTAATCGAAACCTTGTGCTGTACAGGTCATCCCTGCATCCTATATATTTATTCATAGAAACCTTGTGCTGTACAGGTCATCCCTGCATCCTATATTTTTAATTAATAGAAACCTTGTGCTGTACAGGTCATCCCTTCGTTGTATTTATTTTTTTATTTGAATAGAAACTTTGTGCTGTACAGGTCATCCCTTGATTGTATATTTTTTATTAATAGTACCCTTGTGCGGTACAGGTCATCCCTGCATCCTAAGTAACGCACATTGTAGGTGAGAGCTGCTCCTTACTAAAGCGTGTTGTATGAAATGGATGTTGCTAAGGTTGATGTGGCATGACCTCCATGTTTACAGGGACTGCTATGAAAAAGGGCGGGAGGCAAAGCAGTATTGAACCCAAAAGCAAACATTTACTAGTTTTAAGATGTGATGACTGCATTTTTTTTTTTTTTTTTTTTAGGTTTTTCTTCTACTTTTACCTGGTGATTTGGCCAGTGAGTCTCTGTTCAAAAAGAGCAAGCTCTCCAGCAGATAAATCGGATACATGGAGGAGACAAAGCTTTTTTTAACACTGACAGGGACGCTCACACTGATCAGTTTCTGTGTAAAACCTTTAACTTGTTACTGTTGCAGTAACTGCACAGTGAGCCAGTGTTTAGCTTGCATTTTAGCCCTGTTGCACATGGTAGTAAAAAATGCAGAGTTTTTTTTTTTTTTTTTTTTATTACTCATCTGAAATGAGATGCATTGTCTATAGCACATTGCACACAGCTGTGTAAAGATCAGCAAGCCCTGGTTCACTGAATGCCACCTTGAAATCGAACTACTTCACTTATAGCATGATTTCAAAGCTGCGGATGAGTGCGATTTTTGTCTCTCGATTTCACTGTGACTTGCAACTTCATTTAACAGAAGTCAATGCAAGTCGCAATGAAATTGGGGGGGGGGGGGGGGGGGAAGAGTAGTGCAGGAAATCGCGCAACTTTAAATCACGTTAAGTGCCTGGTCATACTGGTGCGATTTGCAAATTGAAATCGCGTCTATTGAAGGTCAGTGTCTTGATGTGCGGATTGCTGCAGCGCAATTTCTCAAGTAGTTCTTGCATTACCTTTTCTGCAGTTTTATTGCGATTTTCACATACGTAGAATATAATGGAAATCGTTACTCTTCACAAGTCAAGATAACGTATTCTGAAATCACGCAACTTTAAATCGCAGAGGTGTGACCGGTGACTAAGACCGTGCCATAGAAATGCACTAGATGCAACTTCACATGCAATTTGTAAATCACATGTTGCCTCTGAAGTCACACAGGTGTGAACCAGGGCTAATGCAGTGCAATCAAAGCTGTAAAATAAAATTATAAAATGTTACATTTGAGTGCAGTATTCTACTTGTTTGCTCGTTTAGGCCCCTTGCACACGAGAGTCATAATTTACTGATGTTTACTCAGGAACTTGTGACTCCCTTGTGCAAGGGGCCAAAAAGCTGGCAATGAAGAATTTTACTCGTCTCTACACTTACATACCTTTGCTCGCCTATACTCCATTTTAGTCTGGTCTTTGCACACTGGTTTTGGTCCCTTGCACGTAGGCGTCACAAGTTCCTGAGTAAATATCAGTAAATTATGCCCTAGTGTGTATCTAAATTTGCTAATACATCTAAGGCCCCTTGCGGGGACATCGTAATTTACTCAGGTTTACTCAGGAACTTGTGATGTGTGTGTAAGGGGCCAAGTGTCATAACTTTAAAAATTCATATCTGAACCACTGAACAAAACCACACGACTCCTTTGAAAAATCACAGTGAAGCTGGCCCCTCACATGTGAACCCAGTCTAAATAAATGCAGCCACCACATATTTCAATTTTTGGGCTTAAGCCTTGGTTCACACTGATGTCTGAAGCATTCCATAACTCGTGGAATTGCATGTGAGCAGTCCATTTGCCTTTAATAAATCAACCCCTGTTTAAAATCAGACTGGGCACTAAGCTGCAAAGTTGATGGTAGAACTAAAGGCGCTCGTACTTTGAATTTGTGCAATGTGCTTGAGGGCTCTTGCATACAGCTGACAAAAACAGACTTTTATCAGTACTGCATTTGGGGTTTTTTTTTCCTTTGTATATGGGTCCATTTCTGTGCTCAAATCAGTGTAAAGATCCGTAAACTTGCACCATGTTCAGACCTGTGACATCGAAGAATCTGGAACTTATGAATTTCACAGTGGTTAGAATTTTGGCATAGTACATAACTCAATATGCTGGTGCTTGCACCCAAGTTATGGTATGAGAATCTGTGCCTGCACTGAGGAAGGATAGGACACACCTTCCTTGGTACACTCTTGCCCTCCCTGGCCATTTGTTAAAGGGTTAGTTCAGGTCCCCCTCTTCCACTGCTCTCCTGGGACTGAAGCCGGCAGTTCTGCTGGCTGACCATAGAGATTACTGAGGCCCAGAACATCCCTGATCCTCTCTATGGTCTAATAAACCGGAAATGAGTATTTTGTCACTTCTGAGTTCGGTCTAATGTATAATAGACTATTGCCGGCCTGTGAAAGCATCAGATTAAACCAATCTGGGTGTCTCAGTAAAGAGTACCTGTCGCTGCCCATGCTATCACAACAGATGTTGTTCATCCCTTGTGATAGCCCTAAAAGTTGATTTAATAAAAAAAAAATGTAAAGCGTCCTCGTCTCCCAAACTGTGCTAGTGCACAAAGGCAAACACATATGAAGCTCATACATGCATATGTTAAACTCTTATTGCCAGCAGTACACAGATATGCGGCCTCTTGTTGGGTGAGCCTTGATGCTGGGAAGCCGCATATCTATGTATTAGAAGTTAAACATGCTGAGAGTGCGTGTTACCAGCACCTATTGGAGTTTTCTGATCATCTGCTAATCACGGCAGTTCCATGATCATAAACCCTGGCTCCCGGCATCACAAACTCCTTACAGGGCTGGATGGCGTGGCACCAAGGGGTTAATGGTGTTTGCACCCCCCACGTAAGGATTCACCATGAATGTTATAGCGAGAGTAATAATTCTAGTACCAAACCAACTGCGCAATTCTGAGCCTCTAAAGGCTTTTTAATGCATCGCCTGTTAAGCTATTTATGTACCGTAGTTTGTCGCCATTCCATGAGTGTTCGCAATTTTAAAGTGTAACACGTTGGGTATCTATTTACTCAGCATAACATATTTTCCTTTTTTTTTTTTTTTATTTAATTTACAAATGTATATTAAGAAGTTTACACAATATTATACCATTCAACAATTTTAACAATACAATATCCCCATATTCCCTTCTCCCCCCTCCACCTCCATTGCCCACGCTTATCTTTTCTCCTACAGTTCTAAGCTACCTAAATTCTCTTTCCTCTCTTTTTCTTCATCTTTTCCTATTCCCTTCATTACCTCATCGCGCAGATTCTTTCCTCCTGTTTTTCACCCCCCAACAGTTCTACGTATCTTTTGAGGTTTTGAAATCGCACCAATCCCCTCCAAGTTCTTTAAAAGTTTTCCATTTTATCCTCTCCACTGTTAAATAATTCCTCCATCCTATAGATATAATTCTACCCTAAATATCCAATCCTTTACTCTTGGGATCTCCTGGTCCCTCCAAAACTTTGGGATCAATCCCTTTGCCGCATTTAAAAAATGAGATGGCATATTATATTGTTTCACCGTAACTCAGTATTGAATAAGCCAACCCATGGATCTTTTAAAATTTTAACTCTTGAAATTTGAACTATATTCTGCCAAAATTCCTGTATCCTGGGGCATTTCCACCATATATGTACCATAGTTCCCTTTATCCTGCATCTTCTCCAACATAATAGTGAGTTCTCTTATGTGCCACTAGGTGTAATATATCATCTTGCCAAACATTTTATAATTAATTTCTGCTACTTTCATATCCACTGCCCCATGTGCTAAATTAAATATTTTCCTTTTTTGTTCATTTAATTGAATTCCATCTCCCATTTCTTCAAAAACGGTGGAGATAGGACTGGATATTTTAGTATTTTATATATTTGAAAAGTACTATGTCTCTGTATAGTACCCGAACCCAACATCTGTTCAAGTGGATACAAATCTTTTGACACTCTTACTGGTTGTGGAAGTGTCTTAATTGAAAATATTGCCATT